GTAGCAGAAGCAACAGCAGGAGTCGCAGTTACTCCCCAAGGAGAAGCAGAGGATCACCACGCTATTCTCCCCGTCATAGCAGATCTCGCTCTCGTACATAAAATGATTGGTGACACTTTTTGTAGAACCCATGTTGTATACAGTTTTCCTTTACTCAGTACAATCTTTTCATTTTTTAATTCAAACTGTTTTGTTCAGAATGGGCTAAAGTGTTGAATTGCATTCTTGTGTAATATCCCTTTGCTCCTAACATCTACATTCCCCTCATGTCTTTGACAAATTGTATTTTAAGTGATGTCATAGACAGGATTGTTTAAATTTAGTTAACTTTCCATGCTCTTCAGACTGATACTGTGTAAATGTCTATTCTGCTCTGGTTTGTGTGAACTGGGATGTTGGGGATATTTGTGGTTCTTACCTGGGGAAGTTCTTATGTTTATCTTGCTTTTCATGTGTCTTTCTGTAGACATATCTGAAGAGATGGATTAAGAATGCTTTGGATTAAGGATTGTGGAGCACATTTCAATCATTTTAGGATTGTCAAAAGGAGGATTGAGGAGGATCAGATCAATAATGGAGGCAATGGTATGACTCCAAGTGCTATTGTCACAGATGAAATTGGCAGTATTGACCTTATACTAAAGGCAAATATTAAAATTGACTTTATGTATCTTAAAACATTTGCAAACATGCAGTTAACTTCAGCTACAATTGCTGCTCTTTAAACCTTGGCAATTGTGGCAAAATTACATGGCCCATTTTGTAACAATTATTTTGCCCCCCCCCCCCTTTTTTTGTTTTAATAGGGACTAATGTGGGAAGAAATGGCTAATTTGTCACAGTCCTTAGTTACAACTGTTAATGTGTGATCTCCTGTTGGTGTACATGTGGGTACAGGGTGTCTTTTAAGTCCAACCAGATAGAGTATAATATCAATACTGCTAAATCTGCATGTCCTCTGTGTGACTGATAGAGCGTTGCAATTTCATTTTTTTAAGACAAAATTACAGCAAAATATAGAATTCCAACATATTGATGTAGATAATCTAGTTGGGAGTATTTTTTAAGTCACCTTCCCCCTTTATAAGCTAATACTCATAATTGACTCATGTTTAAAACACTTTAATTTACAAATTAAATTACAGATGGGAGTATTAGATTTAGTTTAGACTTAGATGGGTAGCAATACCAGTAAACTTTCAACTACATAACACTTTGCAACCACAAAGCCGTGATATGCTGTACAGTAACAAGTGTTGGCATTATCAGTTGAACTGTAAATATAAAATGCTTCTTCCAATTAGTCTCTATGATAATTAAGTTTCTAAAGTTTATCTGACACCATACAGAAACTTGTTTTGGGGAATTTGATAGTTATTGATGTACATCTGTTAAACTGATGACAGACATAACTCATCATTCCCCAGAAACCTTTTTTGATTACAGTATCTAACGTTTTGCCTCCTCTTTTTTGGTTTTGCTGGTTATAAAGGTTTGGATTGGAGAGGGCTCACTGGATCCCAATCCTTGGAGCTGGATCATTGGATTCAAATCATAATGTGGATAGGATAGGGAGGATGAATTACAAGGATTCATGGAGCGGGATCAGATTACCAGGAACATAGGAGTGGATTCCTGCCCCAACCAAACCGCATTCGTGTGGATTTTTTCTTTATTCAACTTAATTGGCTATTCCAAAGATTTTTTTTTTTCCTATTTTTGACGATTGGAGCCCTTAAGATGCACGATGGAATTGTGTTTTGCATTTTTTGGTAAAAGGAGCAAAGCGAGGACCTGGAGATAATACGCTGGAGCAATCTCCTTGGAAGGATTCAGCACGAGTAGATGGTAAACATTTAAAGGGGAAAGGGGGGGTTTGTTTAAAATAGTAAATCAGTAAGTCACTTCTAAATTTAAAGAAAACAAATTGGAGTTGAAGAATGAATAGGTTTCCAATTGGCTATTGCCGTTTTTCTTTGAAAAAATAAACATTTTTTAAAAAACTATGCATGGTTGTCCTTTTTCCTCTTCATATAAGATTTTAACTGGGTAACTAGTCTCTTAACAATTGATCCTTTATTTTGATAAGATAAGATCCTGATTTTTGTGTTTATTAGTAAAGATTCTTAAAAGGCAAGCTAATAAATGGTATTAACTGACTCTTAACTGTTAATTGTGAAAGTTTTAAAGGAATGAAAAAATGTTAAGGGAGTTACATATGTAATATGGCAATGGAGGATGATGTAGTCTGAGAAAGTAACTACTTCGCTAAATGAAAAAAAAACATAGTGCTTATTGATCATTTAATTAACAGATTTGTGTAGAATTGGTGATGACTAGTAAATACTAGTTGGAGATAGTCTTTGGTATTTTCCATGGAACTATCATAGAAATGAAGTGCTGAATGTTTAGCACAGATGTATTGAAAAGTCAATACAGATCACTTTTTTAGGGAAGAGTGCCAGTACTGGGGCTTACACTTAGGTACTTCAGCCTAAGTGCTCAAGGCTGGTGCTCTATCACTTGAGCCATACCTCTTTCTTTTTGCTGGTTAATTTGAGATAAGAATCTACCCAGACTGGTTTGTAACCTCAATCCTCAGATCTCAGCCTCTTGACTAGCTAGATTTGAAAGGTGAGAGCACCCAGCTCACCTTTCCCTTTTGAAATAACTATACCAGAAGATAGATAGATGATTGCTTATTTAGATGAGTCTGCTTTGTAAAACTCAGCCATCAGATTAGTCTCTCCAAACATTTTCTATCGAAGTAGTTTTGCAGCCTATTAGTGCTTAACTTTGACAGACCCTTGCTGCAAAATTTTCATCTTGAGTTTGGAGATTAGGAATTTTATTAAAGTCCTTAGTCTTGCAGTTTCCTCATTTACTTAGAACAAATAACTACTCTTCCATGTCTCCAACAAAAGACAGACCTTACAGTTGCAAGGCTAGATTTGTTTATTCAGAGGATATTTTAAAATCTAGGGGAAACATTGTGATAGGGGAAGATGTGCAAGAGTGATTGGGATATGGTAACATTTATATCTTGATGAAACGGGTTTCAATTCATAGGTATGGCTAATTTGCTTTGTGTGTGTGTGTGTGTGTGTAGGATATTCCACAGTGCATCAGGTTATTAAAGGGATATGAATGATTTAAGAATATAATTTTTGGAAGATTAATGTAAGCAAATCTGAGTGAGTTAAATATTTTGGAAGCAGTGCTAAGACAGAAATGGCCTTTACTCAAGGTAGTCTGTTTAAAAGTGCTCTACTGGCAGGATAGTTCCAAACCTGAGTCGAAAGTATTCTTTCCTCAGCTTGATTAGAAAGGACTTGGTGCATATGTAGGAAAGGTAGATGAGTGTAGGTTTTTATTTAAGCTGTACTAAATTTGGGACTTCTGGTCTTAGAAAGTTGACCTCTGTATATTGGCAATTAGAAGAAATTTTGGAGTTATAAAAACTTTTTTGAATTTTTCCCTTCTATGTCCCTTTAGAATATTGTAGGGAACCAATGATTAGCTTTTTTTCTAACCAAGAAAGCCCTTAAGTCTCTAAGAAGCAATTATTTTTCATAACATCTGAATAATTCATCTTGCTGTTCAGCCTATATCCAATGGGAGACAAAAGGTAAGAAACCTATTTTCTGGCTCCTAATTATTTGGGATCTGAATCTTACTTTAAAAACTAATGCTTGGAGTGTAATTTCTCTTATATACAATGGTATTTTTCTGTTTATACCTTTAATAAATTCCAAGTGTTCATACACCCATCTTAGTGCTTGTTTGATATGATTAATTCTAGAGTTAGCTTTTTTAACTTGTCTACAAATAATGTCTTGTTAATTAGGGCTGGTGCTATTTTCAAGTTTCTGTGGTAAGATGAATTTCATGTTTGCCTTTTTTGCTTTGTATGTGAAATTTGTAAGACTGAAATAAGTTTATGTATGTTATTTACTGTAGTATTAAAAGGAGAAAGTACTAGACTCAAGTTTTTGTTTTAACTACCTCTGGCTTGTATCACAATATGAAGTATGAAGGCATGAAAACATTCACAATCTTACCCACAATTTTGAAATGTTAAGGAACTAAGAATACAGCAGATTACGTTTGTTGCTAAGCCAATTGAATGTAAAACTGATCAGGATTGGTGATTTCATACTAAATGTGACTTTTTACAGAAGTACTAGTATACTTCATTTTTCATTACAGACTTGGTAAGAGCATTTCATTTACCTATATACGTAAGGTATTAAATGTGCTTTAAAAACTGAATTCCAAAGACATCCTCAGGTTTGGGTAACAGTTGTAGAACTGCACTAGGTAACACGGGTTTATTGCTGTGTAAAGCAAGAGTTAGATGGACTGGGAATGTGGCTTGGTAGAGGGCTTGCCTAGCACGGGACTGGGAATGTGGCTTGGTAGAGGGCTTGCCTACCACGTATGAAGCCCTGGGTTTGATTCCGTAGTACCACACAAACAGAAAAGGCTGGACATGGCACTGTGGCTCAAGTGGTAGAAAGCTAGCCTTGAGCAGAAGAGCTCAGGGACAGAGCCCAAACCCAGAGTTCAAGCCCCAGAACTGGCAAAAAAAAAAGATGGTGAGTGAAAACACAGGATCCTCTGAATTTTAGCTAGTGGAAGAAAAGATGACCCACAGTATAATCTTGCTACAGCAGACTTAGAACACTTAGATTCCATTAAAATCAGTACATGTTGCAGTACTACTGTTTTAAGGTAGTTGTTTCTACTTTGGAACATGACCTACTTAATCCTATGAGGAAAGCTGTTCAGTTGGAGTCTGTAGTGCTTTTTGAGTAACTTGCTTTAGACATAGACCTGTCAAGTTAAGTGCTCAAACTGGCACTTGTACCTGTAAGTGCAGATTTTGGAGTGCTTGCTAGGTTTGAAAGCTATATGCTGGGCAACCCTGAAAGTTTGTATTCATAGAGATCAAGAGGAAGATCTTTTCTATTATAAAAATCAGGCTTGGGCATGGCCTTGTGTTCAAAACATTAGTATCACCAGAAAATAAGGTGCTTCAGTAGTAATCAGAAAATAAGTTGAATAGGTCTTTTTTTGTCTTACAGAATTTTGGAAATAACATCTACATCAGTTACAGCTTGCTTTTTGTTATTTTTCCCTGTCTGCTGGGAATTTGAATCCAGGGCCTCACGTGCCATGGCCAGTTTGGGTTATCAAAGCAAGAGAAGTCATATATCTTTTCATAAGGAGGTTATCATTTACCATTTAGACAGGTAAGCAAGACATGTAACAATATTTCCAAGAGCTCAGCCTGAGTGCTTTATCTTAAAAGGATTTGAGCATCAGGTTAAAAAGTAATTCCTTACCTTATACCTTAGAATTACCATCTGTCAGCTATTGATGAGAACTATCAACATGAAGACTACCTAGAAATTGAAAGGATGTAGGTTACTAAAGTGGTGTACACATTGAACAAAAAAACGTTAAAATTACAGGATTGCCGGATTTACTCCCTCCATTGGAGTAAATAAAGGAAACCATAGAGCCACTAGGGGGAGCTATGACACAAACGAGGAAATTTACTGTAAAAGAAGGGTAGCATATCAGCTGAGGTACAGGGTGGTTGTGTCGCAAAAAACAAACATGGGAATATGTAACTGAGCCAGATGTGTACTCGGGTAATCATAATATTAACATTTCTTCTAAAAAATTATTTCTATATAAGTGCCTTTATTCCCCGGAAGTAAGCACTTTCTCCTAGAATTAAGTACAAAAAAGCTAACATGAAAGTGGCACTCAAGCTTAGCACTAGTGGCTCATGCCTATAATCCTCTACTCAGAAGGCTGAGGTGAGGATTGTGGTTCAAAGCCAGCCCAGGCAGGAAAATCCCCAAGAGACCCTTATCCAGTTAACCACTCAAAAACCAGAAGGGGCACTGTGACTTAAGTGGTAGAGCTCCAGCTTTGAAAAGCACAAAGAGGCTCGAATAGTGCCAGGCCCTGAGTACAAGCCCAATAGCCATAGCTGACAAAAGTGGTTCTCAAGCCACAAATGAAAATCGAATTCCCTTTGTAAAAGTGACTAGGGGCTGGGAAGGTGGCTCAGTGATAGAGTGCTTGCCTTGGCATGCGTGAGGCCCTGGGTTCAATTCCTCAGCACCACATAAGCAGAAAAAGCCGGAAGTGGCGCTGTGGCCCAAGTGGTAGAGTGCTAGCCTTGAGCTGAAGAGCTGAGGGACAGCACCCAGGCCCAGAGTTCAGGCCCCACGACCGACCAAAAAAAAAGTGACTAAACTTGGACTGGTTAAAATGCTAGAAGCTACCGGGCACTAGAGGCTCACATCTATAATCCTAGCAACTCAGGAGGCTGAGATCTGAGGATAGCAGTTCAAAGCCAGCCTGGGCAGGAATGTCTGTGTGACTCTTATCTCCATTTAACTACCAGAAAACCAGAAGTGGTGCTGTGGCTCAAGTGGTAGAGTGCTAGCCTTGAGCTGAATTGCTCAGGTGCAGTGCCCAGGCTCAGAGTTCAAGCCCAATGACTGACAAAAAAAAAAAAAGCTAGACGAGATAGTATTGAGGTATTGGATATTAGAAAGTTTTTACTAGTTTGGGATGAATGGTAGCAAAGTTCATTACATAAGAGTAGATTTAGGGCTGGGAATATGACTTAGTGATAGAGTACCTGCCTAGCATGTATGAAGCCCTGGGTTTGATTCTTTAGTACCACATAAACAGAAGTGGTGTTTTGGCTCAAGTGGTAAAGTGCTAGCTAGCCTTGAGCAAAAGAAGATCAGGGACAGTGCTCAAGCCATTACAGGACTGACAATAGATGTAGCATCTAGAAAGAAAAGGAAACCTTGAATGGAACTGAGTCTTAGGCAGATAATTTTGTATATGTATGCCAGTACTGGGGCTAGAACTTGGTCTCACATTCTTGCTTAGCTTTTCCCTCAAAGCTGTCCCTATGCCCCTTGAGCCATACCTCCATTTCTGGCTTTTTGCTGGTTAAATGGGAGATGATTGACTGCAAAGAAATAAATTAGAGTCTTTACTGTCCACATTGATTTTGAACCTTGAATTATCAGCCTGGTGAATGTCTGGGCACAATATCTTTTATCCTTAGCAGAGGCATGCCTAGAAACTAGAATTGTCAAGTTCACATTAACTAGAAATCTAAAATGTTTTTAAGCAGTACAACAAGCATACTATAACAAAATAAAAATGACTCCTTTGTTTTCTAAATTCAGTTTGCAAATTGCAGCAAATCAAGTTGCATGTGCCATTACATCTACAATATTCACATTGAAAGTTTTGTTCATTTGCCAATATATGGGGTTTGTTTTTAAATTGTTTTGTTTCTGAGTGTCCTAACTAGATAAGACTGATTCAAGTCTAGCCTGAAGCTGGCTTTGAATCAGTCTTCTCTGTGCCTTTCAAAAGAGTTTAAAATGTGGTATTTGGATTTGTCTCCCAACTCCATTCCAGCATCCTTATCTTTGCACCCACCCAAATTCACTACTAAAGTTTCATACTGGTTTCAGTGACTCACTTTTGTATATAGTAAGGTCAATTGTGACCCTACAAAAACTATCACTCACTTAATGTGAGTCCATTTATCACTATTAAATCTGATTTTAGTTGGTAAATACCATGTTTGCTTTTGTTTCTGCGTGTCCCCACTTTGCAAATACCTTCCTTCAAATCCTAGCCATCCTCAAAGGTTCAGCTCAAGTCATAATTGATTTTTTTTTTTTTTTCCCTGCCAGTTCTGGGGCTTGAACTCAGCCTGGGCACAGTCCCTGAGCTCCTTTTTGCTTAAAGCTTGACATTCTATCACTTGAGCCACAGCACCACTACTGGCTTTTACTGAGTAGTTCATTGGAGATAAGAGTCTCACAGACTTTATTGCCTGAACTGACTTTGAACTGTGAGCCTCAGATCTGAGCATCCAGAATAGCTAGGATTATAGGCATGAGCCACCAGCTCCTGGCTCATACTTGATGCTTTTTTGTTTTGGGGGGGGGGGGGGTGGAGGTTCTGTCGTGGGGCCTGAACTCTGGACCTGGGCGCTGTCCCTCAGCTCTTCAGCTCAAGGCTAGCGCTCTACCACTTGAGCCACAGTGCCACTTCCAGCTTTTTTCTTTTTGCTTATGTGGTGCTGAGGAATCGAACCCAGGGCCTCAGGCATGCAAGGCAAGCGCTCTACCACTGAGCCACCTTTCCAGCCCCTTGATTCTTGAGTCTATAAAAAGCAAGCTACTTAAAGCTTTCTCCAACATGCATTTAGTTCCTTGTAAATTACTACTGAGTGTCTTATATAATTTTTCTTAATGAAAAAATTGCACTTTGTATTTCTCAGTGAACCAAATATAATACTGATGAGGGTTAATTATTGATTGACAGGAAATGGAAATAAGTATTCCCTAGGAAGAAAGTGTTATAGATAAGTCTAGTTCACAAACTGGGTAACTGTGAGTGGACTATTGGAGAAAAGTATTGTAATTCTAACTTGTTCAAATAATTCCTCTTCAAATGTGAGGCTAAGAAAGATTAGTTTGCTCGTAAAATGTGCATACTTAGCTGGACATTGGTGGCTCATGCCTATAACCCTAGCAACGCTGGAGGCTGAGATCTGAGGATCATGATTCAAAGCTAACCCAAGCAGGAAAGTTTATGAGCCTTAATCACCAAAAACCCAGAAGTGAAGCTGTGGCGCAAGTGATGGAGCCTTAGCTTTGCTCAAGAAGCTAAGGGACAGGACCCAAGTATATGCTCCCAGGCCTAGGCCCCCCAAAAAGCATCCTAAGGGATTGATGTCATAAAGCTAGAAATGGCAGATAAGTGTAATCCCAGGCTTCCAGAGCTTTGGAGGCTGAGATTGAAGATTGTTAGTTGAAGGCCAGTCTCAGCTACACAGCTGAGACTCAAAGAAACTGATAAATGGCATCAGCCAAATGTAGTGGCTCACATCTTGAATTTTAGAAGTTGGGAGGTTAGGGAGGTTAGACAGGAGTACACCACACGTCTTTAAACAAAAACCACCTCCAGTCTCCTTTTCACGTTCTTAGCTTCTTACCTAGGAAACCTGGGTGCTGTTTTTGTTGTTTTTGAGATAGACTGTCTTCAAACTCAAAATCCTTCTGCAGTTTTCCAAGGGCTGGGACTACAGATTATACCTCTGTAGGCTGCATATATGAAGATTATATTGAGATTAAAGAGAGTGGAGAGTACATTTTTTTTTTTATTTGGAAGTCAAACATTACATGACCTAATCAAAACCAACTATCTAAATCAGTTTATCAAAGCCAGGCTCCCAATGTGCATACATTTTCACTCTTTGTACCCCAAATTCCACGGGCAGCAAGCTTTTTATCTCGGACAGCTAATGACTGAAGCTTTGTTTTTTAAACTTGTTATAAGGTGACATAACAGGGGTCACAGTTTCACAGGTCAGGTAGCGAGTACATTTTTTTTTTTTTATCGGTCGTGGGGCTTGAACTCTGGGCCTGGGCGCTGTCCATCAGCTCTTCAGCTCAAGGCGAGTGCTCTACCACTTGAGCTACAGCGCCACTTCCGGTTTTCTGGTGGTTTGTTGGAGATAAGAGTCACAAGGTCTCTCCTGCCCGGGCTGGCTTTGAACCACGATCCTCAGATCTCAGCCTCCTGAGTAGCTAGGATTACAGGCGTGAGCCACCAGCACCCTGCTAGCGAGTACATTTCTTTTTGGACAATGGTCAACCCTTCTCTCCCAAAGCTCTTTTTTTGGGGGGGACCAGTCCTGGGGCTTGAACTCAGGGCCTGAGCACTATCCCTGAGCTGCTTTTTTGTTGTTGGTCATAGGGGTTGAACCCTGGGCCTGGGCGCTGTCCCTCAGCTCTTCAGCTCAAGCCATAGCACTACTTCCAGTTTTCTGAGTGGTTTATTGGAGATAAGAGTCTTTCCTGCCAGGGCTGGCTTTTAAATTGCGATCCTCAGATCTCAGCTTCCTGAGTAGCTAGGCCACTTCCCACTTTTTTTTTGTTTAGGTACTGAGGAATCAACTTTGTGCTAGGCAAGCACTCTTACCATTAAGCCACATTCCCAGCCCCTCCTTGAGATCTTTTTGCTCAAGCACTGTACCATTTTTAAGCCACAATGCCACTTCAGTTTTCTGGTGGTTAATTGGAGATAAGAATCTCAAGACTTGTGCCTGGGCTGGCTTTGAACAGATCCTCAGATCTTAGCCTGCCTGCCCATTAGCTAGTATTACAGGCATGAGCTATGGAACCCT